ACCGACGGACGGAGTCCCGGAGCATTGAAGATGGCTAAGTCATGGGAGGAACAAGCCGACTTAGCCCGGGCGTGCCTTGAGAAGGCTAGACGACGAATGAAGAAATGGGCGGACGACAAACGACGACCACGGGAATTCGACGTTGGGGCCCAAGTGATGGTGAAGCTATTGCCCCAACAATTCAAGGCGTTGAGGAGCATGCACAAGGGACTTGTGCGGAGGTACGAAGGACCATTCCTGGTGATCGCCAAAGTCGGTAAAGTTTCGTATCGTCTAGAACTTCCAAGTTCTTTGAAAATTCACCCGGTCTTCCATATGAGTATGTTGAAGCCTTATCACGAAGACAAGGAAGACCCGAGCCGAGGAGAGTCGCACCGAGCACCACCCATCATGACTAAGTCATACGATAAGGAGATCGAGGAAGTGCTCGGCCGACAATTGAAGCGACGTAGAGGAGTTCCACCGAGCATTCAATACATCATCAAGTGGAAGGGATTACCCGAGTCCGAGGCAACGTGGGAGACGAAGGAAGACTTGTGGCAATTTCAAGATCGTCTCCACTTGTTCGAGGCAACGAGGACGTCGCCGGATTAGGCGGGGGAGGATGTCACGGCCCGCGAGTTTTGACCCAACCCCTTGCCGATTTCCCTTGGGTTGGGGAGGTTAAAGAGTCCAAGACTTTGCCCAAATAGGGTTAGGCCCAAGTTGGCCCAATTGTATAGTGGTAGGTAGAGCCATTTTTGGTAGGTAGAGGTAGGTGGTGGTAGGTAGAGACAATCAAGGGATTGTTCCACTCCCATCCGTTAGATCATATCGATCTCCACCGTCCATTGAGGAGGTGGTCTTGTATAAATAGAGGTAGGGTCCTCATTTGTAATCATCCAACACATATTCACCAACAAATCCAATAAAGTACTTTTCCTACCAACTCTCTTGTCTTCTTACTTTCTTTCTTCGTTTCCATCACTTAAGTATTCGCAACACAATTCGGGAGAGGCTGACTTAGCTATCGCGAGGGGCGAGAAGGAGCTAAGGCCGCACGGTTCTTTGTTAAGGGAACAAGTCCGTGACAATGTGGTAACATTTGCATGCAATTGTGTATTTCGATTTGTATTTGTTGTTTATGAGTTGATTTATAATATAAATATTTAAATTGTGAATTTTTGTTGTTGGTGTTTATGAATTTGTTTTCTATAAGCGGTGATATTCGTGTATGTACATAATTGATCGACCAAAAATTTGGGATTAAAAAAAAAGAACAATATATACTACGAATGATTAAAGTTTTTTATAGTTGCATGTAGTCATTTTCGTTACAGTAAACATATCTATTTTTAAACATATCTATATGGCCGCGGCGAGTCGCAATACTAGTTTCAATAAGTGTAAGACCAAATTAAAAAAAAAAAAAACTACAAAAAAAGTCTACTTTATGAAGATGAAATAACAAATATGCTCATTAGTTAAATTGCCTTTTTGTTTGTTCTTGCAAGACCAAATAATAGAACAAGTATTTTGCAAACAAAAAAAAAAAAAAACGCTCGTACACTCCTATTTGGTACTAGTACTACATTTATTCCTGAATAACTGTCTTGTTTTAATATTTTGTTTCATATTATCTGTCATTTTAAATTTTCAATACTGCATTAAATTTATTTTTTCCTATTTTAAATTTATTAATTCAACTTTAAGTATTAACTACTCCCTCTGTTCCACAATAAATGTCTATTTTTAAAATTATTTGTGTTCCATTTTTATCTGTCACTTTACATTTCCAATACTGCATTAAATGCATTTTTTCTGTTTTAACCTTATTAACCCAACTCTAAACATTAATTATCTCTTATAAATAAGGGTAAATGACGAATAGGCCCATGATAAGGGCACTTAATTAAAAGAGGGACATCCAACTTTTTTGTCTTTCAAATAAATCCAGCACATTCAAACTTATTTGCAAATAAGGAAAATCCCTTTATATATACCAAAATTACCCCAATTCATTGAAACCCAATTCAACTCCAATTTCATGATTTACACCCCAATTTAGCCCAATTTCATCAGTTAACCAATTTTAACCCTAATTTCAATTTTGAAATTTTGACCAGCCACCACCGGAGATCGCTGGTCGCCGCGGCGTTGACTTTTTTTTTTTTTTTTTTTTTTTTTGAAAAACTTTTTTTTCCTGAAATTTTTTTCCGGCCGATCAACTGCCGTTGACCACCGGGTCTCCGACGTTGACTTTTTTTTTTTAATGTTTTGTTTTTTCTTAAAAAAATATTTTAATTAATATTACTATCTTGGCTGCTAAATTACTGTCTTCGGTAGTTATTTAATTGTCGAAGACATTGATTTAATTTTTAATTGACTTTTTTTTTTCTTCAAAAATATTTTAATTAATATTACTGTATTCGTTGCTAAATTACTGTCTCCAGCAGTTATTTAACTGTCGGAGACAGTAATTTAACTGTTAATTGACTTTTTTATTCTTAAAAAAAATATTTTTAATTAATATTACTATATTCGTTCCTAATGTCTCCAGCCGTTATTTAACTGTTAATTGACTTTTTTTTTTAAATTTATTTTTTTTTTTAAATTATTTTAATTAATATTACTGCCTTGGCTGATAAATTACTGTCTCCAACAGTAATTTAACTGTCTTAGACAATAATATTAATAATATTACTGTTCGGAAAAATAATATTCATAATATTACTGTCCCAAACAGTAATATTACTGTCTGAGACAGTAATTTAGCAGCCAAGACAGTAATATTAAGGAAGTTAGAGCATAATGGATAGAAATGATAAGAATTATATTATGGAGGGTATTTTAGACTAAAGACATGGGGATGAGTTTAATTGAGGGACTATTTTTTTTGTGGACCAAAATGCATTTAAGTCCCATGTGATGGGTCTTTTTGCCATTCGCCCTATAAATAATTAAATAATAAAGGTTGTTTTAGTCATTTTTATGTATTTTCCTAAAATCAAGGCACATTTATTTTCTTAATCTTTGTGAAAATTGAAAATAGACAATTATTTACGAACAGAGGGAGCATTTCTTATCACATCATTAAGTGATCAAGATTATTTTAGTCTTTCTAATGTTTTTTTCCATAAATTCAAGACACATATATTGAGATACTACTAATACTAACGGATGGAGTAATTCAACGAGGACTATGTCGACTTGGTTCAAAACTTACACACACGCACACACAAACTAATGTTAAGTTAACTAATTATCGACCATAATTTGTGTTGTTCCCTTTTGGTGAAAATTTACAAAAATTGACAAAACATTAAAAATCAACGAAAATTAAGAGAGATAGAGAAAGAGGCCATAACTGCGAATGCTACAAGTTTTAGACCAAACCGTCACGGACTTGTCACCCCAAAGTTCCGCGCACATAATTAAAAGAATCACAAAAATATATCTAATAATAAAAATTGAACAAAAGTACCGTCAAAAGATAGATTTTGATGAGAGGAATCCAACAGCGAGTAGCCCGTCAAATTCCGACTGACAGAAAACAATTTGCACCTCCTGAAAAACCTGCCATTGATGAATTACTCACGTACTGTAAAATGAGTGCATAAATAGATCCACGGATTCAAACCGGATGAAATCACCACAACAAGAACGATCTCGATGCAAGGAATCTAACGGCTTATAAACCATCAAATTTTGACCACCGCAGAGAAAGTTATGACTCTGAGAAGCACCATCGTCAATTGAAGATCTATGTGGCGGAAATTCGGATCTGAGAGTGGAAAAGAAAGAGAGAGGCAGTTGAGAGTTGGCTGAGATTTAAAACTGATTTTATAAGGGTACTTCATGTATTTCAAATCGTCCAGTGGTATGTCGAATTTCGAAAAAAAATCAAAGGTATAAACTAGAGTGTAATCTTGTTGGTATTTAGTTTAAAATATTTCTAATTCGAGGGCGGCCCATCAAATAATTCCCAAATATAATTAGTGTTGTATTTATCACTAAAATGAATTAACTTCCTCGGAACATGATTAATAGCAGTCCTGGGAATTGTTAAAGTCTTGCTGTATACAAATAACTCAACTCTTTGTATCCAATTAATATATTCAAGTCAAGTACACCAAAGGTCGTGGTTTGGAAAGTACCTAATTAAATATATCTGACAGAGAACCCTAATTTATCCAATAACTCAAAGTAGGGTACACACATTTAGTTTTGAAAGGAACCACCATGTCTGTAACACCAGAAGGAGATGGTATGTCAATTTCTCTATAAACTCTCTTATTTCTTCTTTCTTCTTTTTTTTTTTTTTTTTTTTTTTTTTTTTTTTTTTTGTAATATAAATTATATTAATATATTGCTACTGTTCGAAGTGACCATCATGGAAACAAGAGAGGCATCACCTACACATTTTTTGATCAAGATTGAATCTTTCTACAAGTCTGGAATGGACAAATTCGAAACCAACGAATTTGTGGCTGGAGATTACAAATGGTATATGTCATGGCAAATTATGGCCACACCAGAGTTATCTTCGAATTACGAAAACCCTCTTTCTGTTTGTGTAATTACGGTCACTCTTCTCAACTAAGTATTATCCTACGAAAAAACCCATTTAGAGATAAATTTAGGGATGTTACATGGTAAAATCGAACCGAAATTTCAGTAGGCTAACATTTCATATCGTTTACCGAACTGAATATACGATTTGGTTCGGTAAATAACCGAATTACATAAATATTATGTATATATAAATATTATGTATTATTTAAAAGGAGGGATGACTGTAATTACCCAAACAAATGGATTTTTTCGTAATTTGGTCATACCTCAGGAGGTACCGTAATTTGCCCATATATATATATATATATATATATATATATACATATATATATATATATATATATATATATATATATATATATATATGTATACATATATATATATATATATATCCAAATGGAGATGGTACTGTAAAGTATTGCGACTACGTTTCAGTATATTTGGCTATGGCGAATACAAGTTCATTGCCTGCTAATTGGGAGGTTAACGTTGTATTCAGCATCTTTCTCTTTAATCAGATTTCAGCTAATTATCTGTGTTCACTAGGTATATATTATTTTTCTTCTCATCTTTCAATTAGCCCTCTAAATTTACGGTACTTCAATTGCATTTTATAATTGGAAACAGGAATAACAAGACGTTTCCTAGCAATGAAGTCGGAATGGGGATTTTCAAAATTGATCTCTAAAAAGGTTATGTCTGAACCCTCAAACGGATACCTAATCGATGATACATGTGTGTTAGGTGCTGAGGTTTTCATCGTGAAAAAAGAAGCCGCCATTCAACGTCTATCTTTGAACAATTGTGATGTTCCTTACGAACGTGATTGGAAGATTACTAACTTTTCCAAATTGGGAAATCTTTGGGAATCCGAAGAATTCATAGTTAGAGGCCACAAATGGTACTTTTGTTTTGCTAGGTTTGTTTTGTGTTTTATTCTTGCACTTATTTGATTTTTATTTTTAATTGAGTACTTTTGTTGATAAATTAAGGAAAATTTGGCTTTACCCGAAAGGAAATAAGGGAGGAGTTGGCACCTATGTGAGCATGTATTTGTTTAATGCTGGTTATGAAAGAGTACAAGCAAGTTATACCTTATGTATCAAAAACCAGGTTTCTGATGAGCACAAGAAACTAACGAGTAAGTTCCAACATCGATTGGTGTTTGTAAAACAGGTGTCGTTGTTCATATCATGGTTGAATCTCTCTCACGAAATAATTACATCCTTTTTCTTGCAGTAACAAATCATTTGTTTACACCTTCAAGCAGTTCATGGGGATGGCCTACATTCATGGAGATTGCAACTATGAATGATCCTAAAAAGGGATTTATTGTCAATGACTCTTGTCTTGTACATGTTGAAATCTCATCTGTCGAGGACGCTGCACAATAATCTTCGTTTTCTCACTCTCTCTCTCTCTATATATATATATAGAGAGAGAGAGAGAGAGATTTATGCACCCGTACATTTATTTATTTGCAAGGAAGCTTTTTTGCTGGAACAAGAGAATAGAATTTTCAGTAATACCTAACATTGTTCGATTAATTTTTCAGCTTAAGAATTTTTATCTTGTGATTTTGACGTATGGATCAGTACACAATTTATGAAGTTTAAATAACCTAAAATTGCGTGGAGAAATCTCACATCTTCTGCTTAATGAATGGCAAAAATTGTACGAGTACTCTTTTGAATTTTTTTTTTTCACTTATTCTGACAACTCTATATTAAAGTGTTTGTAATGACTCGTTAAGTCTGCAAAACTACACAATTTGTTTCTTTTATTTCTTTCTGGTGATGTAATATAGGGCAAATTCCAATTTCCCCGCTTGTACGTTGGATCGGTATTATTTTACCCTATTTTACTCTCGATTGCATCGATTTGCCCTCCGCGCTTGTACTTTGGATCGGTATTATTTTACCCTATTTTACTCTCGATTGCATCGATTTGCCCTCCGCACTTGAAAATTTGTCTCAATGTGGCCCTCGATGTTAGCTGTGAGACATTTAATCTTACCATAGTTTGGTCTAATAAGCTTTGAAATTACAAGAACATCACCCCTCCCAATTTAAAATAATTATTAAAAAAGTTTTCAAACATCTACCAATTTATATAGAAATATAAAAGTTGTGTGTACAATACATTACCGGCCCCCCTCAGAATTTGTTCAATGCGTTCGTCTCCCTCAAACTTCAAATTCTAACTCTGCTAATGTCACCGCAAATCTGATCAGCAGACTTTCCCCTTTCGATCAGCTAACTTTCGTGAAGTCAAATAAATCAAGTCAGCTTAATCATGTCAAACAATCGACGTTCTGAGAAAAAAACAATCAGCAATCAAAACCAAACTCAGCTAAATCAAGTGAACCTTTTAAAACTTAACTAATCGGAACTACGACAATCCACCACCGCCAACAACGTTCAGTCAACTAATCAGCTCAGCTAAATGAAGTCAGCTGATCAAAGTTCCAGCGCGATCCGCCGCCGTCGTCACAAAAATCAGTAGATGGAATCAAATCAGCTTAATCAATTTAACTAATGAAATGTTAACCAATCAAAATCGGAGCTTCGACAAATAAAAGATAAACTAAATTCAAAGAAAATTATTAACTATCTCTTATCACATCATTAAGTGATTAAAATTATTTTAGTCTTTCTAATGTTTTTTTCCCCCTAAATTCAAGACATATATATTGAGATACTTCATACTCGTGCAAACCTAAAAATGACTGATAATAAGGAACGGAGAGAGTATTTCAACGAGGACTATGTCTACTTGGTTCAAAACTTATATCAATTTAGACTTGATGTTACTTCAAGTGTTCTCCTAGTGTTATCATTATTATACGTATATATCACTACTGATTTTTGCGATAGTTTCTTTAGTACTTGTTTATTGTTGTACATATTGAACCTAAGGCGAAAATTAATTGGTAAGAGATTCAAAAATATCAATATATAAAGTAGATTTTTTTTCGCTACGAAAAGAAAAAAAATGAAAAAGTTCAGCATTTCAACTGAAAATTTGACTGAGATTGTTAAATAATTGGGCACTTTATAAATAAACCCATCAATAGGTTGTTCAGAGGTTTATAAAATACTAAAAATAACCCTCACATTTTAATATACTCTAATTTCATCATTTAATTTAATTTAACGTCAATTTGACCCCAAGTTTCATAAATTATTCAATTTTAACCCAAAACACAATTTTGAGTACAATTTCGTCCGTCGCCGCCGTTGATCGCCACCGGTCTCGGGCGTTGACATGTCAAACAAATCAAACAAAATTAAAAAAAAAACCAAAAAAATAATAATATTGTCGCTGACTCTAATTGTACTGTTACCGACAGTACAATTACATAAATGTATTGTCACGACAGTACAATTACGTTAATGTAGTGTCAACAACTATATAATTACTGTTAATGACAGTACAATTATGGTCAACGTTTAGCAGCGAACATAAAAAATGGACAAATTTTAGGGAAAGAATAATCGAAATAGTCAACGCCAGCCACAAACCGGCAGCGGAAAAAATAGACCAGAAGAAAAAAAAAAGTCAACGCTGGAGACTGGCGGCGGAAAAAACATACCAGAAAAAAAAAATTGAAAAGTCAACTCCGGAGACCGGAGGCAAAAAAAATAATTTCAAAAAAAAAGTTTTTTTAAAAAAGTTAATAAAATTGGATTTTTATGGTCAAAATTGATAAAAATGCAATTAATACCTTATTGAAACTCCAAAATGATAAATAGTTTGGGACAAAAAATAAAGGGTAAATTACAAACACCCCCCTGAGGTATGGTCAAATTACAAACCCCCCTCTTGTTTGGATAATTACATCTACCCCTCAACTATGATTTTTTCTTACATCTCCACCCTTATGGATCCAAATTCAACATAATCATCTAGATTCCGTAAAATGTGCTCTAGTTTGTACTAGTTTTGTGTAAAAATACAGTTTCCGATGCACCACAAAATGATATATACAAGCTAAAAATCACATATTATGTTCATCTTGCTTCATAATGTAGAGTTTGAATGGGATAAAACGGGTACAAAAGTGATAATATTCCATATAATCTCGAAGATTCTACTAAATTTGAGGAGTTGAGGGGCGGTTGTAATTATCCAAACAAGAGGGGTATTTTTGTAATTTGACCATACCTCAGGGGGGTGTTTGTAATTTACCCAAAAAAAAAACACCACAAAGAGGACATATAATAATGAGTATAGGGAGTAAAATTATGTTCAACACGAAACCGGTTCATAACAAAGAGGACATATTGTGCAGCTGTCACATAAGGGAGATTATTGTGCAACAGCTCGGACGGATATTTCAATATCGAGATGTAAACAGTCTTTGACGATGAATCCCTTCTTAGGATCATTCATATTTGCAAGCTCCGTGAAAGAAGGCCATCCCCAGTTATTGCTAGAAGTTGAAAACCAGTCGGTAGCTGCAAGACGAATTCAAATGTGTTGTGTTTCATGAGAGAGAGAGGTTCGAGAAACTATTATTATTATTATTATTATTATTATTATTATTATTATTATTATTATTATTATTATTATTATTATTATTATTATTATTATTATTATTATTATTATTACAGTTCAATTGAAGAAACATTTATATTGTGTCCTAGCTATACATAAGTGGCAGAATGGACAATTAACGTGAAAACGGAAACAAAAACGAAACACGGTATTGCTGTTAAAATGTACTTACTAGTACGTTCAATGTGTTCATCAGAAAAGTGGTTTTTGATCCATACGGTATCACGTGCATTGACACTTCCGGAACCAACATAGTACAAAAAGACAGACACACCTCGGCCAGTTGCATCTCCATTTCCGTTTGGGAAAAGCCAAATCCGCCTAAATTTATCAATAAATTTAAAGCTGCTATTTGTATCAAACGAATCCGAATACTGAACGAAATTGTAATACAATTGTAATACTAAAATAAAAAAATAAAAATAAAAAAATAAAAAAAAACGAACCATTTGTGGTCTCCCGCACAGAACTCTTCAGACTTCCAAACGTCTCCCAGTTGGGAGAAGTTTGAAATCTTCCAATCACGCTTGTAATGAATTTCGTTCTTCAACGACAAACATCCAGTGACTGCACTACTTTTGACGACGAAAACCTCAGCACCAAACACACAATTGTCATCGACTAGGTATCCGTTTGATGTATCGGACAAAACTTTCTTAGAGATAAATTTTGAAAAGCCCCATTCGGACGTAATTGCCAGGAAACGTCTTGTTATTCCTGTTCATTTAATTGGTAAATAATTATTTTCAACTGTGGATGAAGGTAAATGTTTTCTTTTTTTTTGGTAAATTACAGCTACCCTAGAGGTATGATCAAATTACGAAAAATCCCTCATGTTTGGATAGTTACAAGTAGAACCACCTATCAACTATAAATCTTCTTACATATCCACCCTTGCAGTGTCAAATTTAATTTAATGAGAGATTTTTTTCTTAATTTGACCTTATCTCAGATGTGGCTGTAATTTACCTTTTTTTTTTCCTTAATTCTAATCCTATTACAAATTGGGGAACTAGGATAGGATTCGAACCCTAGACATCTACTTAATAGTAGAGACTACATATATTGACTCTCCTAATACGAGTTGGTAATTGGAAAACACTTTCATCTGATGAATAACATAAAAGTTAATAATAAAAAAATAATACCTAGTGAAGTAAGATAATTGCCCGAATTGTGATTATAGAGAAAGATGCTGAAGACAACATTGACCTCACAATTTCCCGGCAATGAAGTTTTGTCCGCCATAGCCAAGTATACAGAAACATAGTCGCCATCTTTTCCAACAATGTCGTCTCCATTAGGATAGATTATTAGTTTCCTGCATGTTCATATTATCATAGATTTTTCTTATCCAACAACTAATTTAGTTCATTATATATATATACATACCAGTTGTGGTCTCAGCGACAAATTCTTTCGTTTCGTACTTGTCAATCCCACAGTTTTCCAGTAAAGAGAACGATTCGATGGTGAACAAAAAATGTGCCGGTGATGCTTCTCTTGTTTCCATGGCCGTGTATATATATATATATATATATATATATATATATATATATATATATATATATATATATATATATATATATATATTAAGAGAAAGAAAACAAAACAGTTATACCATGTACTGATGATGCTGCTGATGTCACAGACATAGACATGGTGGTTCTTGTTCGAGTAATTGTGTGCCCTAGTTTCTTTTGAGTTTGGAGAAATTAGGGTTCTGTTTATTTTGTACCAAGATTCCGTGTCCTTCGATTTACTTGCCTTGTATTGAATTTGAATTTTGGTACAATACATTCCAAACATTTATAAGTTTGACATTCACTTAACCTATATTGCTGTGGTGTAAAACAATTAAGAGGGTGTTTGGCTAAGCTTATAAGATGTTAAAAAAAGCTTATAAGATGTTTTAGAGCTTATAAGTTCTTCTAAAGTGTTTGGTAATTTTTTTAAAAAAAGATCTTATTTTTCTTAAAATAAGCTGTTGGAGAGCAAATAAGATCTTTTTTAAAAAGTACCTCTACCCCACATTTTTATTTAAGATCTTATACTGAGTAAAAATATGAAATAAGATCATTATCCAAACACTCTAAAAATTAATCTTAAAAATAAAATGTAACAGCTTATCAGCTCTTAAAACATCTTATCAGACGTAGGAGCTTATCAGCTCTTTAAAATAAGCTTAGCCAAACACCCTCTAAATCGCAACCAGGGCCGGTTTTGAAGGGTAGGCGGTCGGTCACCTAGGGCTCCCGAAAGTATTGATCATATCAGTATATTTATCAATATTAGTATCAAGGTTGTAAAAAAGCGGTGAGACACCGACCCACGATGGTGCGGCGGTGATTAATGGGTGATAAATCGGAAATAAATCGGTTTAGAAGTTAATATAATATATTTATAGATATTATTTATAAATACTCAAAACATATATAAAAAGATATTTAAACATAGTTATGTCTCCATCATGTATATATCCTAATAACATAATAAAATTTTAATAATAATAAGATCATAATACATAAATATCCTTATAAAATACAAATAAAAAAGCAATTTTTTTGAATTTACATTTATTCTTGAACATTCCTGGCATACATCATTAGTTCTTTAACTATAATATTTAACATAAACAAGATAAAGCATAAATTTATATTTTTTTATTAAAATTCCAAACTTTTATTTTGAATTATTAAAAAAAAAAAAAAAAACCGACTTTTGCCACCGAAGTTTGACCCACCTTAAAGGTTTGACCGCCTCAGACTGCCTAAAACCGCCTCACAGGCGAAAATCGATTTTTCAAACCTTCACACTAAAATCTTAAAGGTTTGGGACTGCCTCCGCCGCCGAGACCGATTAATCGGCCCCCTCGGTCGATTTTTAGAACACCGATTAGTATTAGTGTCATTTTGACATCTAAAAAGTAATTTTGTTTGAATCCTGTTCTGATTTAATCTATTTAGTTATTATCATCTATACCTTCTTTTTTTTCCAAAATAATAATGTTCGACAATTTTGATTAATTTTTTATGGGCAAATTACCAAAACCCCCTGAGGTAAGCCTAAATAACGAAAATCCCCCCCATGTTCTCGTAATTACGAAAACCCCCCTGAGGTATGCAGACGTCTTACAAATCGCTCTAACGATGTTAGACTCGATAGAATCTTTTTGATTCTCCCGAATATTCCTCCGATAATACCAATTTTGCCCTTGTACACGAAATTACCCTTAGGGGGGTAATTGTAAGCATTTTATTTAATGAGGGGTCATTATGAATGTACAAAATAATTATTTTTCTTAAATTAAACCCAAATATAATCAATCATTATGAATGTACAATGTATTTTTATTGGATTAAAAAAAATCAATGAATGAGATTTCAAAACTTAATTATTTTTTATATATAAAATTAAATATTTTACAATTCGAGAAATACAACCATGCATCATTCAAGCTAAAAGCATAAATCCGTATGAATACTCCTCTGGATAAATAAAATCAATTAAAATATATAAATAAAAAAAATAAAAAATTATAATATCAAATTATCAATACAAATTACAAAGTAATAAATAAATTTATAAAAGCAATAAATCATCAACTGAAAGGGATGTCAGGGGGGGTTTTCGTTATTTAGGCTTACCTCAGGGGGGTTTTGATAATTTGCCCTTTATTTTTTACATATTTAACAGAAGGATATAATAGACATTTCACGTTTTCGGTTAAAAAATTCGGTCAACCGTTAGTCGCGGGGGGTTTTCGTAATTACGAGAACATGGGGGGGATTTTCGTTATTTAGGCTTACCTCGGGGGGTTTTTGGTAATTTGCCCATTTTTTATAATATATTATGTGACTTTGTGGAAATTGGGATTTTTTGAATTATTTGGTATATTACAACTGAATAAAAATAAGAAATGTTTGAAATTACTCATTTATGCTTTTAAACATCTAATACAAATAAAATAGCTAAAAAATATTAACTGGGATATAAAATATAGATAAGAATATATTTTTATCAAAAATTAAAATATCGTGCTATATTAACTTTTTTGGTTAAAATCGCACAAGAATTGATGTAGCTTGCATTTTGCCATGAGATATATAATTAAAGGGTGGACTTTGCTAATTTTAAAATTTTAGGGTGCACAGTGTGAACTTGTGTCAATTTTGAGGTGCAAAACGCAATTCACTTCGATCTAAGGAAGAAATGGATCAAATAATGCCAGTTCCAATAAAAGAATGCAATACAAGAATAACTAAGAAGCAAGTAATCATTCAAAATTTTGATGCTGACGAGATGAGTAGAAATTGGAATAATTGAAAGTAAAAGATGAAATAAGTAATAGGATGATGAATATACATCGACAAAACCGTATAAAATTATTTATCTATTTTACTATTAAGTAATAAATGATTTTGAATTATATTTTATTCAAAATTAAAGAATTATCACTGTTACAAAATATTACTCTAATAACAATATAACTACCATAAATAAATTAAAATAGATAGGAAAATTAACAGGACGGCGCACTTTCTAGTGATTAGAAATTCTGAATCCAAATTCAAAATTAATTTTCAAATTCTAATTCTACTTGAGGTAAGCCTAAATAACGAAAATCCCCCATGTTCTCGTAATTACGAAAACCCCCATTGACTAACGGTTGACCGAATTTTTTTAACCGAAAACGTGAAATGTCTATTATATCCTTCTGTTAAATATGTAAAAAATAAAGGGCAAATTACCAAAAACCCCCTGAGGTAAGCCTAAATAACGAAAATCCCCCATGACATCCCTTTCAGTTGATGATTTATTGCTTTTATAAATTTATTTATTACTTTGTAATTTGTATTGATAATTTGATATTATAATTTTTTATTTTTTTTTATTTATATATTTTAATTGATTTTATTTATCCAGCATACGGATTTATGCTTTTAGCTTGAATGATGCATGGTTGTATTTCTCGAATTGTAAAATATTTAATTTTATATATAAAAAATAATTAAATTTTGAAATCTCATTCATTGATTTTTTTTAATCCAATAAAAATACATTGTACATTCATAATGATTGATTATATTTGGGTTTAATTTAAGAAAAATAAGTATTTTGTACATTCATAATGACCCCTCATTAAATAAAATGCTTACAATTACCCCCTAAGGTTAATTTCGTGTACAAGGGCAAAATTGGTATTATCGGAGGAATATTCGGGAGAATCAAAAAGATTCTATCGAGTCTAACACCGTTAGAGGGATTTGTAAGACGTCTGCATACCTCAGGCGGGTTTTCGTAATTACGAGAACATGGGGGGGATTTTCGTTATTTAGGCTTACCTCAGGGGGGTTTTGGTAATTTGCCCAAAAATTTATAATAATGATTTTTTTTTTCAAATGAATTAGTTTATGAAAATGAAAGTTTTATTTTACGTTTACAATTTCACCCCTTAATACTGTGGAAAAAACTATTTTCATGTTTTACTACTGTATTATGGAAAAATGTGTAGTTTTACTAAAAGATTATTAGAAAAAAAAAATAGATGGAGGTGTATTGTTATAGCTATTTGTTAGAATCCGAGAGGATTCTATTTCGGTTTTTCAACACGTGTGCGAAAAACGTGTATAAAAACTAGGGAAGTTTCCTTAGTTCTTTAAACTCTTATTTTGTCATTAATTTATTTAATTGCCTAAGTGTTTTATTAACAAGGAATTTATTTGTCTAAGACTTTCCTTGTTTACATAACTCTTTTTTCCTTACGTGAAGATTATATCTAACCTAATGGGCTCTAATTTTGTAGGGCTCTACTAATTCACCTAAGGAAGTATAAGAAGGGCAGCATCAACGTTTTTATACGTTGTCCCTTTTATTTTGAGAGAAAACTATTTTCTGCTCTTACGTTGCTGCTCCAGAATTCCTGATCTTAAATCGAGAAGAAAATACAGAAAAAGGAGTTTGCTTCTTTCACCGAAAAGAAGATCGGTTCTTCGGGAGGAGAACTCAGAAGATCTCGGGAGGAGGTCGATCCGCCGACTGAGGGACTCAGCGTTGAAGGAATTTCAACCGTGCGGAAAGGGACGTGCTGCAAAGTGAAGATTCACAATTCAGCGTAGGATACAAGAACGGCGTCGACAAAGAGGGAGTCTTTGCATTTTCGATTAAGTCCTATTACTGTATTCGTAAAACTAAAAATTAGTGAATTTCATTTGCAGGTCCCCGTGGATGTAGGGTACAATTGTATCCGAACCACTTTAAAATTTGTGTCTTTTTATTACTGTTCCATTAACTGTTGCAACTCTTCGTAAAACAGTAGAACAGTAGCTAAAACTGAATCTGGGATTTATCGGACACAAATTTATAATTAATTTGCACGAAATAATTCTAACAATTGGCATCAAGAGCCTGTCACTAAATATATCTAGTGAGATTTTGGGAACTGATTACTCTTATTTTGTGCAGATATGAATACTCAACGAGAAGGATCTTCAACTACTCGTCCACCTCTTC